TAAATAAATGTGAAAAGTGCATGTTTATCTGATTCGTTGAAAGTAAAGCTTTCATATTCTGATTTGGCATAAAGTGCCTTATATCTGATCTGTTTATTCTGATCTATGGATTTTGACATGTTGATTTTCAGATTTCAATATAAAGAAAATTTTGAAAGTCTGTTTAATATGTTTTTATGATAACTGTTATTTTACAAATTTTCCGAATTAAGAAATATTTTATTGAGTCTTTTTATATGTTCTGATTCTATATTAAGACATTTTTTTTGTATAATAGTTTACACGATATTTTAAAATTATAATACTTTGAATTAATTATGATATTTTATTATTGAAATATTTTACTTTAGTCTGTATATGCTTCATTAAGTGATTACTTAGTGTGAGTGTTTTATGTGTAGGTAAGGAAAGAATAAATCAACGCAGTAGAAAACATAACATGTATCACTCTTTTCGGATAACACCTATTCCCATTATTAGTATGGTAATTACCAATATTTGATTTAGCTAGTTGGTATGTATATTATATATGTTTTGCTGCTCTCATAGGTAAGTTTCATAATGTGGTTTGTATTATATAAATAGACTAAAGAGTATGCGCATTGTTAGGTATAGCCAATATTTTGCATAAATAGTAGTTTATTAGATTATATTTATAATACTATTGAAATGAAATTTGTGTAGGCAATTTTTAGATAGTTTCATTTTCTTTATGATTCAGTATCGAACTGTCATATTACTGTATAAAAAGGGAACTGATTTAAAAGTTAAAATATTAATTTTTATGTCACGCGATTAGTCAATTTGATGAAAAAGGGCATAAATAAATAAATTTTAAAAATGATCGAAATTTTACTCGATTTTGTTTAGTAAATGTTTAAAAAATTAATGTGACACATTTAACTCGTAATTGAGTACGTATACGGATTAAGTGTGTTACATATAACCCCTTAAAGCTTCCAAAACAGCCAAACTTTAAATATTTCATGACTTACCATACCCACCAAACTTCAAATATTTCTTGACTTTTTTCGAGTAACTCCTCTACAGTGCACTTTTCCTATTATGCAAACCATCCGGATGATATTTTCAATGAAAATCTACCACAATTGAAACTGCTACTTTAGTCCAACCCCATTGAACAATTTCTCTTAGAACATAGATGAATTGTACTCTCGCGACCCATAATTCATGATTACTGCAGCAGGATTGATTTCGGACCCAAAATCATTGAAACTAATTCGAAATCTCGCTATCGTCGACTCCCATTGATTTCTGAGAATTCAATGCTTTCAATAAGCACCCTTACGCTTTCCAGTTAATTATATAGACTCTCATTCGAAATAAGGTTCCCGCATAAGATGATTATGGTCACAAAGTTCCTGATTTTTGCAGTTACAGTTACCATGTACCTTGCCTCGCAATATCCACTATTCCTTCAAACCCCTTGATCCTTGCTTTTCCTGATGATTTAGAGGCTGTCAAAGTCCAAATCCGCAACAGACAATAGCATCAAAACATTGAACATAATGCTCCTTGAAAGGCCTTCTTTTACAAGAAAGTCTGTCAGAGTATCTCTCTCTTGGAACATAAGGAATTTGACATCTCACATTGCCTTCCCCACCATTTCTAAGGACAAAACAAATGAGAGGAGATCCAAAATAACATTTCCTGGGAACCAAATTCTTTAGTCAGACCCTTTAGAAGAACAAGAACTTCACTAATCCTGACGCAACATCCTTTACAACTCCTACTTGGTGGGAAATTTCAAACTCCAAATTTTGACAAAATTGAAATATGAATTTGCTACCCCTCTTCAACCTATAATTCAATACGATTTTATGTCCTAATTAAATAAAAACAAAAGTGTATATATATTTATTATCTTTTTTGAAATCAGAGAGGAAAATTGATCAATCATGTTGTTAACCAATAACTTTTTAATCTTTTCTCTTTATAACCTTTATCAATTTGATTCATAAAAATCTATAAATGTAGACTATTGAAACATTATGTTCACCTAATGATATTTTCCTAGTTACTTTTATCATTAATATTTGACAAAAAAACTAATATAATAATTAGAAAAATAAATATAATTATATATTTCATTATTTTAATTTTAATTTAATTTAAAAATATTTATCCTTCTTTTAGATGAAGAATTGTGTGCACAGGTAATACAACATGTATCACTATTTTATTAGAGTTTTATTTTATTTTAAATAGTATAATACATTATGTATATATATATATATATATATAATATTGTAATTAATTTATCAAAAGTGGGATTTAGCTACATGGTTAAGGCATATTTCATTTTTCTCAAACATCTTGGGTTTAGTCCGCCACAAAACCATTCTTCACAATTTATTAAATAAAATAAAATAAAATAAAGAAAAAATTTACATTTAGATAATGTCATATTTTTAATCTAATTGGGTGATTATTATTTTTAAATTAAATTGAAATTAGGATCAAAATTGATAGACCGTGTAAATAAGAAATATTAAATGTATAATCATACTAATTTTATTATATTATCACATTAACACCTTCATAAATTGTGAAGTACGAGTGATTTAATTGACATCATTTAAACAATTAAATGATGTGATTGAAAAAAATATTAAAAGATCAATTGTAAGATTAAAATCTCTTATTTTACTAATACAACTAATTTTCAATCTTCATAAAATATTAAAATCAAATTCTGACAAATTAAAGGGATGAAACTCATAATTAAACCTATTTTAAATTTATGTTGATATAACAATTAAGGAAAAATGTTTTTGGATTTGAATTGAATTTATTCAAAGTTTTTCAAAGCATTCAAAAATAATTCAAAGTCCATTTAAAAGTGTAATTGAGCACAAAATGATTTTCTGGACAAAAAGTACTGATACTGTTCTTACAGTATCGATACCTCATGAACAGTACCGATACTGTTCATATGGTACTGATACCAAAGGTAAGGAAAGTATTGATACTCACTAGGTAGTATCGATACTACCAACATTGCTCAAATTTCAGAATGCAAAAATGGTACCGATACCCAAAGGGGTACCGATACTACTATACATAGGAGTATCGATACCATATGCATAATATCGATACCATTAGGCCCTAACAGTTAGTAATATCTAGTTGATTTAAATATAACAAAGGTAGTACCGATACCCTTTGTTCTGGGCAGCTTTATTTTGCACGAAAATTGATCCCCAACGTCTCTAAAACACTCCCAACGGCTAGAAATGGTCATAACAACATTCCGACATATAAATACAAGTTGAGGACACTTGAAGAAGGGTTAGAACACCTATCCAAGCAATCAAACACAAGAGAAGAGTCTTTCATTCCTATTTTACTTTCTCTTGTAAATATTTTTGTTCTAGTGAGATAAATTTTGTAAACTCCTACATTTGAGAGGCTTATTTGTTTACTTCTTTTATCCTTTTGTAAAGGGGTTTTTGGTTCTATCATAGCAAAGTAAAAAGATAGGGAGTTTGTAAAGGTTACTCTTGATCCTTGAAAAAGAAAGAACAAATTAGTGAATTTGTTAGAAAATCCTTAGTGAGGAGCTAAGGTAGTGGATGTAAACTTGGTTGATAAATCGAACTATTATAAATCTTTGTGTTCATTGTCTTATCTTTACTCTCCTTACTTCTTAAACAAATTTTTATTAATTCACCTATTTGCAACTCTTTCGGTTGTTAATTCGAACCTCTTCAAATCCCAACAATTTATTTAGGCAAAAGGGTACATAAGTCATCGTACTTTTAAAAAGAAACCAATGTGGTCCTCCACTTTTTTTGCACCCAATGTGGCCCTCCAAGTCAGGAAAAAAAACTCAATGTGGTCATTTGACCAACGTTTTCCGTCGTTGACCAACGACTCCGTTACTTTGTGCTAACGTGACACGTTAAGCAGGCCAACATCATATTTTTCTCTCAATCTGGCCCTCCAACTCAAGGAAATAACTCAATCTGGCCCTCATACTTTTTGTTTAATGTTGTTATAAATAATAAAATTATACCATTCATCACTCAACTATCTTCTCTCTTATATTTTAGTCACTAAACTTTAAAAGTTTTCAATTTAATCACTCAACTTTTGAATTATTACTGTTTTGATCATCATGATTTATTTTATTAATATTATTTATGATGTGACATTTGTTATTCTTATTTTATTAATATATGATTAAAATAATATTAATTAAATTAAAATTTTAAAATTATATTGAAACAAAAAATATTCCCAAAATTATAATTAAATTAAAAAAATATTACATCTACTTTATATATTTCCAAGTCTCCACTCTCCTCCTTTATCCTCTCATATCATTTTTCTTTATTTTCAACCAAAGATTTCTTTTTTTCTTCTTTCATTACCCAGTCAAGTACCTCATCCCCAATTTTTCAATTTTTTTACAAGTTCAATCTGGGTTCACTGAATCTGGTAATGAAAAAAAAAGAAATCTTTGGTTGAAAAGAAAAAATACCACATCATACATAAATATTAATAAAATAAATTAGATGTTTAAAATATGAGCAATTCAAAAGTTGAGTAATTAAATTGAAAACTTTTAAAGTTTAGTGACCAAAATAGAAGAGAAAAAATAGGAGGGCCTGATTGAGAGAAAAATTAGGATGTTGGCTTACTTAACGTGGCATGCCAGCAAAAAGTAACGAAGCCATTGGTCAACGACAAAAAAACATTGGTCAAAAGACCACGTTGAGATTTTTTTTAACTTGGAGGGCCATATTAGGTGAAAAAAAAAGTAGAGGGCCACGTTGTTTTTTTAAAAGTACGAAGGCCTTAGCTATCATTTTGCTATTTATTTCATTATTATTTTGTGGATAAATCAAAACCCTAGACCACTTTTAGAAATATCTAATATTCTAATCCATTCCCGGGGATCTGCTGTTTTTCTTTTATCTTCTTCACCATCTAAGCCTATTTCGATTTTCTCTTATTTTCTCTGTGTATTTAATTCAAAGTTTCATAGAAGGAAGAATCCTCGTTTGGGGTTCTCCTGCATTTATGTTCTTCGGCTAAAACAAAACAAAAAACAATTTGAAAAAAATGCATCCCATTAAATATGGTTCCCATCATCATCTTCAGCAGCAGCAGCAATTCATGGCTGATGATGGCGATTCTTCATCTTGTTCAGTTTTCTTCATTCCCAAGCCCCAGCAACAACAACAACAATATGTTTTCCCTTACCCTTTAAATTCTCAGCAACAACACGAACACCATGAGAATCTTTCTCAGCAACATCCGAGTCCAGTTACCCATCAGCTTTTTCAGCATTATCAAGCTCAGTTTCAAGCATTTCGACACCCAGAATCTGTTCATCATCATAGTCATCCCTTTTCAGCTGTTAATTTCAAGTTGGGTCTTAACGAAAACAGTGGGAAAAAGGAGGTTGTTTTGCCTTTGAATCATCAGCACAATGAAGCTAGTTTTTTCCATGGAAATCAGCAACATGAAGATCCTCTTTTGGTTCCCAATTGTTTGCATCCCCATGAAGATTCTCCCCTGAAAGAACCCTTTTGGTAATTTATTATAATTCCTTTTCTTACTCTAAACTTTTTTCTTTTTCTTGTTTGATTTCTTTTTCTCACCCATGTGTTTGTTGAAATGTTAGCAGGAAACCCTTGAACAGATACGAAGGTAGGCAGTGTAGTGGAAATAACAAGGTTTCTCAATCCAAAAATGAGAGGAGCAAGAATTTGGATCACAAATATAGACTCTTTGGTGAGCTTGAAGCAATTTATGGGCATGGAGGAGAAGCTTCTCAAGCTGGTTCAGGGTCTGCTCTCACGGGGGAGAATTCACCTGCAAATGTTGCCATCTCCATGCCCTTAACTGAGTTCCATGGCCATAATATAGGTGCAAATGAAGGGGTTGGTAATGGATTAGAGAGCACTTCCATTGTGAAAGAAGCTTCCTTGAGGAATAAGATTCAAAAGAAGATCAATAGGAAGACAAAAATGGAGGAAATGAGTTCAATGGTTGTGTTTTTCGGGAGCTTAGTGAAGCAAGTGACTGATCATCAAGAGTATCTCCACAAAAGGTTCTTGGAAGAGGTTGAAAGAATGGATAAAGAGAGGTCAGTGAAAGAGGAATCATGGAGACAACAAGAGGTTGAAAGACGTAATAGGGAAACCATGGCAAGAGCACATGAACAAGCTTTAGCTTCAAGTAGAGAGGCTCTCATTGTATCCTATTTGGAGAAGATTACAGGTGAAAGCATCAATCTTCCACAAAGGACTCCATTGTTAGTACAACTTGAAAGCACGGTTGTTAAAGCTGATAACAATAGCAGGTGGCCTATACCTGAAGTTGAGGCCTTGATTCAAGTGAGATGTAACTTGGAATCAAAGTTTCGAGAATCTGGATTAAAGGGTGCTCTTTGGGAAGAAGTGAGCTCTTTAATGTCTTCTTTTGGTTATCAAAAAAGTGCCAAAAGGTGCAAAGAGAAATGGGAGAACATCAACAAGTATTTCAGGAAGAGCAAAGAGAATGGTAAGAAACGCTCTCAGCAATCCAAAACCTGCGGTTATTTTGATCAATTGGATCAACTCTACTCAAGAATACCAATTAACACTGCTATTGAGATGCAAAAACAAGGTGATTCGGACCTTTTAGAACCCTGTATTCCTCAGAGAGTTGACGTTAATGGGAGCCTTAAAAGTATCTGAAATGAACTCCCCAAAGTTGGATTTTGATGGCACAGTAGGTGATAAACAAGGAAGCAACGTAAAGGACAATGAAAGCCGTGGGAATTACTTGGAGAATGATGGTGATGAGCAAGAAGACGATGGTAATGACAGTGATGGGGAGAATGAGAATTGAAGGTCAACCTCCCAAAGGTCTTCTACAAGGTAAGCAATTTTTTAACTCAAGGATTTCCAGTGCTAATAGTGTGCTTAGTTCAACAAAGTTAACATCAACTATGGGTTGTCTATAAAGCAATTAAGATGAGAATGTAGACCTATGATCTTACTATTGTCTTAGCCATTGTTTTTTCCTTTGTTTTTTTCTCTTGTTTTCATCTGCTTATGGACCATTGGTAATTTTTGTTTCAAAATTTGAACCTCAATCTTTGTTTACCTCTTCTCTTCACATTAATGTCATTGCTTTGGCTGCTATGGGGGCACTTTGTTTTAATGCTTGCACACATACAAATATACATACATACACTACGGGTGTGTATATGTGTATATATATATAGGGACGGAGCTCAATTAGGGTCCAAGGAACCCCGACCCTTGTTAAAATTTGTATATTTGATATAATTTTGGTTTAATAGTATTTTGGTTCATGTAAAAATAAATATTTAAATTTTAAAAATATAAAAATTTATTAAATATTTAATCAAATAGTGGTCGAATTATAGAATGATAAGTACGTGTTCTCAAATTTTTAGTCTAATTACAATTTAGGTCATTGTAAGTTTAAATATTAGACAAATTATAAATTGTCTTTTGAATTTTAAGTTTTTTATTATAAATTTAAGTGAATACAAGGTACTATATGTATAAAGATTTTCAACTATTTGACAACGAACGCTCATACCCCTACATACGCCTCAGGACCTCAAGGATAACAACAATCCCCTTAATCACTAAGGTTATTTGTTCATGCTGAATTTCGAGTTTAAATACCTAATAAGTCTTTATATTTTTCTTAAATAATATATTATTTCGGTCCCTGTCAATATTTAATTTTGACTCTGTCCCTATATATATATATATATTAAGAGATTGTCGTTATCTTTTGAGGTATCAAAATCGAGCATGAACACATAAGTGTACGTTGAGAGTCTTTAACAGATGCCACCTTTTATTCATCTAGACTAATCAATATGTGTATGTATATGTATGATGGTTGAATGGTATGGTAGGATGATGGCACGAATAGGAACAGTGCATAATTGGAGGGTACGTGTGGTGGGGGGTGGGGCCTGTTATCTCTGCATGGCATGGGACGACACGAGACCCCGCGTGTGTGTGTGCATCACTCATCCATTATAGAGTTGAAAAAGAAATATCTGAGATTCTGCAAAAATCTCATAGTACGTAGTGCATGATTTTAATGAACAGATGAGAGAGATGACATCAAGTTTTGTAAGAAGAGCACGAACGGTGGTGACCCGATTCTCACATGGCTTTCTCTCTGAATCTGATTTTTCAGCAGACCAATAATCCCACTTATTTTTCTGCACCCTCTTTCATTGGTTTTGCTTTGCATCCACCACCAAAATTAACTCACTCACCCACGCTTCACTCCAATAATTTTCTTCTCGGTTTTATAAAAGTTTTTGGCTTTTTCATTTTTTATTATCATTTTAAGATTTTTATTTTATTATATATTACTCCTATGACAGAATCACACATCGAGAGACGATCATAATCAAGTCAGATTAATTTTTTTGTTCATTTGAATTTGACTCGAATATAATATCCTTTTATTTGTTATTCGGTCTTACTCATATTAAGAAAGCTTAATCTGACCTGAAATTTGATCTAATTTTTGGGGTAAAATGCTCAAACTGGACTGGACATATATATATAATATAATTCTCATTTTTATCGATAAAATAGGGACATAATTTAAAAATATATAAATAGATACATTATAATAATTATTCTTAAATATATAAATGTTAATTATATTATTATTCTTGTGTCAAATATTTTTCCCTCTAAATCTGAATCTAACTTGAATCTAAATTTTCAACAACAAAAATGATTAAAAATGTCCATATGTAAGCACATCCACAGAAGTGATTAAAAATGATAATATATATGTGTGTGTTCGTGCGTGCGTGCATGTTAGGGTCAATTTGCATTGTGTAAAACTCTTTTAGTTTTAAACCTTCTTAGGACCATTGGATTGATGAGAATCAAAGACTAAGATTAACTCATTTTTTCAATGAATATCTTCTCATTTTCTATTGTTAATCTTCTCATTTAATTTCTCTCATCCAGTGGTCTTAAAAAGTTACAAAACTAAAAGAGTTTTACGCAGTGTAATTATATATATTATACACATACTCTATAAAAATTAAATCGTACAATCTTATTTATTTGAATGTCGCATTTTTTATTTTAGGATTTATAATTTAAGATTTAGAGTAGTGAAAAATTTTGGTAACATAGTTTGGAGGATTAAATTAAAAGTTTAATTTTCTTGAAGGGTTTAATCTAATTTGTTAAAAAAATTTGGGGTATAACTACATTTTTTAAGACTTAATGACAAATTCTAAAAAATGTCAAGAGGGAACATAATTAAAGTATTAAAAAAATAAAACATTTTAAGATTTTTTAAATTTTTTGAAAAGACCAAATTTTAAAAGATTAAGTGTTATTTTTTTTTAAAATTTTGAAGGGCTATAAGCCACTAACCAATTCAAAAACAAGAATAACAATGGATGAAACTTTAGGCTTAAGGGTTTTCATTATCTTACATAGAATTCAAATCAAAATATATTAGGATGATGTTTAGCTCACGATTTCTAAATTTCTAATTAAATCTTACAAGCATTTAGCACTTCTGAAAGGATTTTAAGATTCTCTTTAGGAGTTTAAGCTTTCATTTATTTGAAGAGAAAGGATGATGGATTTAGTTCAGTGAATTCGGTAGGTATTGGATTCGAATATATAAGCAGTTCTGAGGTTTGCATTTGGATATAGTATTTTCATGACGTTGACTTTGATTTGTTATTGTCAATAGTTATTTAATTGTTTAATCCCATGATATGGTTTATTTGTCATACAGTTAGATTTATTCGTATCTATCTTTTGTTCAAGACTTTTAAATAGTCTTTATATGATCTCAAATCACTAATTTCTTGTGTTGATGGTTATATGAACATGTACTAATTATATGTTAATTGCACTGTTGGATATTATTTTCTTAATAAAACTAGTGCTTTTAATTCTATAAAAAATTTATCAGGCGCACTAACCTAACTTGTTTATAATTAAGAAAATATATATATATATATATATATAGAGAGAGAGAGAGAGAGAGTAAATACCTATTTGAACTTTCTAATTTTAATTTATTTTGATTTTACTTTTCAGTTTCTGTTACTAGTTGTACTTTATCATTTTGAGCTACTATCATGACCTCGTTCCTATATAAAAGAAATAGTTTATAAACTTATAAATAATTCTATTTTTAATAATTATATATATATCTTAATATTATACATTTCCAACAATTTCCACTACTTAATCCATGATTAAAAGCCATGCAAGGCTTCTACTTCTAATTCTTTTCAATTATGTCATCAATATTCCCTTTCATAGTTTCGATCATCGATATGTCACGCCTTGAATCCCATTTAGAAGTCTGAAATCTATAAAATTTTAGAGTTGGGTTAAATTTGAGGGGACAACGAATTCAAGGATAAAAATGGAATTTTATGAAGAGTATTTGGCCGCTCTCGTAAACCTTAGGGAATTAGGGGACTAAGCTCTCAAGTTCCTCATTTCCATTAACATTAATTTGTCTCATCGTTTTTCACCATATCAAAATGTAAAATTACCTCTTTTAAGGACTCAAAATTTACCCATTTTCAAACGATTTCTTTTCTCTTGAAATTTCTTTTTAATCAACATATGTCATAACTATTTTTTGAAAAACAATTATGTTTAAAAAAATAATTATGACTATATTTGAAAAATTGGCGATTTTGAATTAATCTGAATTAAATTGAATAGGAGTCGCCATCGACCTTTGGGTTAGGTAGGTCAAATATCTAAAAACGTCATTTAAAACAATTTTAAGAAAAATAATTTAAATGATAAAAGTTGGTTTGCGTTTACCAAAAACCCGATTAAACAGGTCCGGGAGTCGATTACGCGTGGTGAAGGATTAGCACCCAACAATGCCCAAAATTGATACTTAGTTGCTTACATATTATCGTAAATGGCGAAAATCATGAATTCACATCAATAATTAAAGTATGATCCATTTATTGAACAACAAGTAACTTGTTCCGAATTAATTATTAGAGAAAATTCTTCAACCTAAAAAGAAATCTCAAGATTTGCAATCATCCATCGGGAAAGCTATCACACCTATTTCTTATCTTCAAAAGAATATTCTCTCTTCAAACTATTTAAAATATTAAACCTAATAAGAAATTAATATCATAATTCACAAAAATAATTTGTTACTTTTTTTTTGTAAAATAAAATAAATTATTAATATATAATAAAATAAAATAAAATAAAATAAAATTATTATTTTCATTTAATAAAAATGTATGGTTGACTTCAAATTCACCAATAGTTTGTATGTTGTATCGAATCACATTACCTCTATAAGGTGGTATTCTTCACATCCATTCTATGACGAGTGCTCTTGGGTATCCGAATGAAACAATTAGTACAAATCAATTTTATTGATATGAAAGATATAGAAACATGCATTGCATCATTTGAATTAAAAATAAATTATTTTACATTTAAAAAAATAAACTCGATTTATTTCAAATTCATTTTTGTTCGAATATCGTATCGAACCACACTACTTTGGTCAAATTATGCTTTTTCCACCCATTCTACAATAGAGTGTCTTTGAAAATCTTCGGATAAAATATACAAATATATTGTCTAGTGGATATTTCATAAATTAATTAAACGATATAAGGTAAAATATAATACTATCACATCTATACAAGGTTGAGAATATTAGATAAATATATATATTTATCCCATGGTATAATGTATACATAAATAATACTAACAAATATACAATGTCCATACATGGTAAAAATGAAAAGAAACAAAACCTAACTATGCAAGAATTAAATTATAGGGACTAAAATAATATAAACAAAATACAATCAATCAATTCAAAAAATA